CCCCAAAACCCCAAAACCCCAAGTCACTTATTATCGATAAAAATAAGTTAATGATGAGATCAAATATATCAGAATTATTTGTTGCTGTATGACTTAATTATTTAATACAAGATAAAATACTTAAGCTCTCTTCAATTACAAGCTATCTGAATCTATCATTAATCATTTTCTTCTTACAGCCATTTACCTCATATTACCAAATGCTTTCTTAATGTTATTTATTTTAGAGGGTTTTTTAGGTTAAGCTTATATTGGTTCAAATTCAGCATTATTTCTGCACAGTCCACATCCTAATGCAAATTCAGTTCCTGTTTTAGGATGCTCTACACCCAATGGACATTAATCAAGGCCAGGACACTCTTTCTTTCGACTATCATTGGCAACTTAGTGACAAGGCTCACAGAAATGAGTAGTTCCAAAGCAAAACCATAGGGCTACTGTACAACAGTATCTGCATTTGAACTCTATATAGTCTTTTCCATGCTTTTTACAATCAGTTACTCCTGCACCTAATTTTAAAGCTGAACAAGAAGAACATATGTAATCTTCAGGCTTGGGTTCTCTTTAAGGTCCAGCATTGCCATTTTCCTTTTATTCCTCGCCTTCCCCACATTCATATCTTCCACCATAGTATGGACTCTTACATTTGAAGCATTGATAGAAAGAGAGTTTATTCAAGGCTAAAGACTGTATGTTATTAAAGTAAGGATCTCCGGCCTTTTATAATCTGGGATCTTTATCAAGCCCTTCAAATTTAGCCCTCTCTACTGACTTCTAACAAACCATACCATATATCTTTCTGCAATCTTCTAACTCCTATTCTATTATTTGACAGTTTTCTGCTTTGATGTGCTTATTACATTTAGGACATTCCATAAAAGCAAACGTGATTCTTTTGTTACCCCAGCGCTGCTTAATCTTGTTATGCAAGCATTCAAGGTGATAGATATGCTTGCATTCTAGCTAAACACATGGGCCTGCTCCTAGTCCTTCAGTATAGCATATCTCACAATATGATTCTGCATTCAATGAAAATGTTAAACTTTCATCCTTTTTTACACATTCTTCATTCAGACAGGGCATGCATTTCTCTTCATCCTTAAAGCCACAGCAAGGATGTCCACATTCAAGCACTTTTTCACATGTCTTGCCCATTAATTCTATACATACTTGAGATCTGCACACTTCCTTGAAGGCTGGAAGCATTGATGGTGGTGGCTGAGTAAGTTTCTCATTACAGTATCTGCACTTTCTTGATTCCTTATATTCTTTATATTAGTCGCAAGTCTTTCCTTAGTGATATGGCTCTGACTAACATTATGAGCAGAAATTCTTTTGACACTAGCCGCATCTTACTCTATATTTGCTCATATGCACAGCTGATAATCTATAAGGTTATTAATTGTAATTAGGTAATATATACTAAGTTATAGGCTTTCCGTTTTCATCCTTTTGGTTAAGATCGACTTGCCCTTATAATATTTCCATAATGCTCCCGCAACTACAGCTGACTAAATTCTGATTCTATGATAATAACTGTAACTATTAAAATTTCCCCCACTCTTCAAATTCTTCCTTGCACATTACATTCCTGATTTCTCTCTCAGCAATATCTTTCTGACAATTTGGGCATTGCATCTATTATGACATGCGAACAGAACTATACATTAGTTAATAGATTGTAGATTAACCTACTCAAAAGCCAGTAAAGAGAAGCAATCTTTATGTAGCATATGGAAACAATCAGTTGACTAAAGCATCATGGTTTCTTCCTCTTCCATCTCCATTGGAGATATGTGATTCAGACAGTACTGACAAGTCTCATACTAGTCAAGCTCCTCAATCCTTTGAAGTTAGTAATCATCCTGATTTATTTAGAATTGAGCAAGATCATAATTTTATTAGCCATTTTATTTCTGATGAAGTTCAAGTCCATTGTTTTGGAATTTTACTTCTTCCTCGGGATTGACTATATTATCTGTAACTTTAAAGCTCAAAATGTTACATAGATTTAATGGTACTTTGTTTAAATGTATTTCATCATCATGTGTTAAAGTCTTGATCTGAATGCTAATAGCTTCCTAGAACATTTAAGCCAATGAATGCATATTCATTAGTTGTTCAAGATCAGTAAGATTTTACGTAAACTTCTCCCAGGCCAAAAATAACTCCATGTAAGTCATATTCATGATCTCGCAATTCAAATTATGTAGTACTAATTTTTCAACTGTTTAGAGTGATTATCCACAGATACATGAGAATGGGTAGATCAACTCTTTTTCATCTATTATATACATTATATGAAATGATGTAATATACTGTATTTGCTGTCAATACGATTGAGAGATGGTTTTCTTTGATGATTATAATCCATTTGATTGAAATCTATTTTAGTTTATTTATGATACTCCAAATCTTAACTTTATATTACCTGAGCGGGGTTTTGGGGTTTTGGGGTTTTGGGG